ATAAGCTATAATGAGTGGGTAGTATGAGATCTGCCGCTATCAACACCACATCTAGTGTGTCCTGCACCATGCACGCCTAATAATCGTGTGACAACTCAAAATCCGATTTGACAAGTTACACCTGTTCATGCAACTTAATGGAAAGATCTAGATGTTGACGAGACCAATCTCTCGTAGGTACAAATCAAGAGCAGGTTATCCATCGCGACGGACACCCAATCAAACCCCAAGATGGCCGGCATGTTGTGCCGCGTTCACGTGCACGACACATGTCCAAGATTACGATTCAACCTCTTGAGGGTTTCTGATTCTTGAGAAGGACATGTGGGTCGAATTATGAGGGCCATGTGAAGTTCTCCGATGTGCTTTTACTATCGCCAACATGTCCAATGACGTCGAGCGCGCACATGGCAGCGGACAGCAAGGATCGGAGAGGGATAACCTGAACGAGAGAGTTCTCTCTTTGCGGTAATGGATTTAGGTGGCGGCGGCTTGCAACGGGGCCCTTCTTTTTCCCATAGAAATATCGTAAATAGTGCATTGTTTTCCTTGGAATTTAAATTTTCTATTATCTCAAAATATCTCTGATTGATTGGTCTCTTAAAGAAGTTTTTACACTAGATTGCCATAAAATTTACTAGGTGCGCCAACAATCGTGGAATCATATTCGGTTGAGATTAAGGCCAAAACTTTCCTCATGTGCACACACTATCATGAAATAGATTTAAACGACTGAAAAAGAAAAGAACGACATTGAGAGCAACAATTATGCATAACGTATCTGACCAAATACCGCACATACATAAAAACCCACAAATAGTCTAGTGTCAAAATCATGCGAAAAGTTTGAGTCACCTCTATTTCAAATTGTCTTTTATAATTGATAATGATGCATTTGACTAAACAACTAGGTTTTGGCTAGCTAGGACTCTTCAAGCCAGTGAGCACAAGTGTGTGTAGGGCCAAACGTATCGCGGAAATATTGTCAGAATCGATCTCGAAGAAGGAACATGTCCCAATGAATCCTGCACTTCGTCTGTTTGCACTAGTCTAGTCCAAAGTCGCACCTCTCACCACGTAATTTTGTTTTTTTTCTCTAGTGTTTGATCCTGTCGGGTCTGTCGTATACATCAAAAAGCTGAAGAAAGATAATGCAAGATCAAATAACTTGTTGGGTCGACATGTCAAGCTAGAGCTCAGCTTCATTAGGTATCTCAACAAAAATCATTATGAAGTTGAGTAGATCTCGCGCTGTTCTGGGATTATAATCTGTAGATCTCGCGCTGTTCTGGGATTATAATCTGTGGACACGTGGCATATGGATTTATCTAAGCATATGGTGTTTGTGGTCAGCACTTAATCCGTCTATAGTTTTCACTTCCTATATCAATAACTTTCATTGTAAATGAAGCTGAGATCATGACAACGATGCTTTCTCCCAAAAATTACCATAAACATATGGGCCCATAGAGCCCCATATCCCGGAACAAGATGATTAAATGATTCGGATCATAAATCTTTAGTAGGTAGATTTTGTTGGTATAAAAATCCAAAGAGCAAAAAGAGAGAAAAATCTATAAAAAGAAAACATGGAACTTGCATGGCTCAAGTCAAAGTCTGTAATTCTCAAAATCTGTAAAAAGAAAACATAGAACTTACACTACTATGCATCATTTATGTCAATGATTTTTCCCATGATATAGTCTCTTTGAAGACATATGATAAGGTGGTTTTTCTCATAAATATGAGAAGTATTGCTTAGGAGGGAGAAGTCTTATGACACCTTCGAAGGTGGGAGTCGAACCTCTCACCTCCTCCTTCTCATGGGAGAAGGGTAACATATCCACTAGCCGAGCAAAACCCTAATGGCACACCATTAAAACACTTACTTCCTCTAAGTGACTCTTTAAGTTTATAAATATTCGATATAGTATTTTCAACTCTACCTGCAGACTCATGCAGTTTCACTTTGATATGCAATTAAGAAAGTGTTGGAGATAAACACAATATTTTCCTTGATTCTCCATATTTATCATAATTGTATAGATATCTTCTTTAATTATGCATATCTTTGATTAATTACAATTTATATCTTAATATCTTGTTACCTTAAATAGTCATTTAACAAAACATCTAAATAGACTTATTGAACAGATGGATGGCCCTCATACGCCTAAACCCTAAAATTGAACCTAACTTGTTATTCAGGATTATTCATATGACAACAAAACAGTACATGAAAATCTTCACCAAGATGAGCAGGCCCGGCTTTTCCAGCCCCTCTTTGCATGGCGGGCCTAGCTGGCTAAACGCGACAGTACACCGATGGTCATGCTTATATTGTTAAATCAGCTTAGTTTCTTTATAATATTCTAGCCCTAGCGGAGATGATCTTATTACAGAACAGCAGAAAATGATTGTGGGCATCTGGGGTTACACTTCTCCAAAAAAAATGAACAGGACACGTGGCTCGTGGACAACTGTGGGGAAAGGGATTTGGGGTCACATGATTTCTTGTCTTCTTCGAAGGACAAGACAAGTGTTGGAATTTGGAAATTTGATTCTCATTAACCAAATTTGTCCACTCCTCTCCATATCGATCTTGGAATGCATGTATTTTGTCTCATGTCTTACGTCCTTTTTCACCCCCCGAGTCCCAATCCCCCCCCCCCCCCCCAATGCACCCTCCATAGATACTTTAAAAAATTATTCTAACATCTCTCTCCAACACAGAAACAAAAACTTGTTTATTCTGCTGTGAGATAGGGCGAGAGAGAGGACAATATGCCGTCGTATAAGACGAATGGAGCATTAAAGATGATTGGAGTCACGTACGGCCTTGAGATTTCCACTTTTTTAACCGCATATCTGTAAGTATAGTAAGAGTACAAAAGCCTAGGAGAACAAATATTGATATATACAGTGAATCCATGAAGTGACGTATCAAATTCTAGTATTTAAACAAGCAACTCATATCCAACTGTTGAATAAGTCCTTGACACGTTATCTATCAAACTAATTTTGTAACATAGTGTTTGTATCATTAGTTTGATTAATACGGTAATATAATGATCATTTAAGTTTATGTTTTGATACGATAAGTAGGGATCAGAATATAATGATCTATTGAGTTTAAGTTTTGGTAGGGTGAGGAGGGATTAGAATTTGGAAGGATCCCACAATTTAACGATTGCCGGTAGTGATAACGACTTTATTTAATATTCGGGAAAATACCAAAATCATGCATATAACCTATCTATTTAAGTTTGAAAAAGATTTGGAAAAGTCGACTCTATATATCAATAGTATATGGTTTGGAATAGTTTGAGGTACTTGAGTTATTCTAAATTAAATTAAAAACAAGAATACTACAATAACGTTCAAGACCTAAGGGGGAAATCAATGAGGATCCATGATGTAATTTTCTATCTAAAACATAGTACATGCCATATTTTAATAATTCCACCAGACTACAATGTTGGAATTTTATTTAAAAATTAAGTGGCCTAGTTGTTTGCTAGTGAGAAAGTGATAGGGTTGGAGGCCGTGGCTCGTCCCTGCTGTTGGCCTCTTAACCATCTTCTCCAAACCTTTGCTTCAACCTTTCTAATGGACTGTTTTAAGACAACTTACATTTTTAGTGGATTATTTAGGCATTTAAAACATGCACGAGTTATTGATAATTAGGTCCTAGAGTAATCAGAAGTACAAGATGGGCGGCTTTGGCCTTTCTCTACTCCCAATCTTTAACGACCTTTCTCTAACTCCTATAATTGATACCGATTCATTAAAATAACTATAGATTTACTCGGACTGATATATCAAATTAGTATGCTAAGAGATGTAACAAATTAATCGCGAGTATCGGGTATGCCCTACTTTATTTAGATATTTGCAAGATGTTCGCGATCTTATCGAGTATTACACTAAGTTTGTAGATCGATGGAAATATATATTATTGCCTGTCGTTCCATCATACCTCTATTAGAAAGAGAAAGGTGACTTCTAGTCTTGGTCCCAGAACTTTTCCAAACATCACATTTCGGTCCCTCCATGCCCAAATGTCCACATTGTTACCATCAAATTATCAATGTCGCAGCTTCTCGAAAACAAATTGTTTTTTCCAGCTTGTTCGACTGAGGTAATGTGTCAATATAAGATGACAAGACTGTCATATCTGAGTCAGCGACATCGCAAATAGGTGACATTGATTAACTAATCACGTACGCAACACGACGGAAGGGGAATGATTATCCTTAAATTGTCACATAAGGAAAGGAATTTATATTGGGTATACTGGCAGTGTAAATAATTCTTATTACTACTCTAAATGTGATATCAATATGTAAAAATTTAGATGTGTAATTAATTATCAAATATACGCGTGTCTCCCCTTTAATGATGACAGCATAAAACTCTTTTTGCATTATTAGTGAACCTAATAAGAGGCTGTTTAGTACGACTTTCCCACTGCACCTTAGCTATGGATAAGGGTGTTGTAGCTTTATAAGGTTTTCAGCAATTACCCAATCTTAAAGTGTCGCAACTTCGAAATATGTAATATTAATCACATAAGTAACAACGTACTTCACAACACGGCCAAGTACAACACAGCTATCTTTCGACTAAATGTATACCAAACGGGCTCTAAATCCATTATGAAAGTCTAGACTTAAGATTTTAAAATTTTAATTTAAGGTTTTAAAGTTTTATGCAAAAAAAAAGTTACTATATTTAAAATAATTGAGGTTATCCGAACTTTTCAATTTAACAAATCCACGATGATGCACGCAAACCAGTAAGCCACTTACATCGGTTAAGACCGCAATGATCCCTCGCGTAGCTAGCGTAGTGCGCAAAATTACTTTGAGTAGAGGATGATATGATCTTTTTGCAGTATTATCTTTTTATCTGGGGATACTCCACGGTTTGAATAAAAGAGAAACAAATCTTAATTCTAATTAGTCATCCTTGTTTTGTTGTCCAAACCGGTGGCCCCCTTCTTGTGGGTGCTCTATAAGTACATAGTTTTTTCAGCAGCAAAAGAGCATCCAAAAAAATGTCTTTCCCAATGGACACAAGTACTTCATCATCGACTCTTGTTCTATGCCCTGCAATTGAGCTCAAGGATGAGAAGGAGACCCTCCTATTTGACTCCTCCTTGCTTCAAAAGCAACCCAACTTCCCAAAAGAGTTCACATGGCCACACAAAGACCTTGTTCACACCCAAGAAGAGCTGAAAGAGCCACTCATAGACTTGTCAGGCTTCCTAAAAGGCAATGAAGAAGCAACTTCCCTAGCAGCTGAGCTCATCAGGACTGCTTGCACCAACCATGGGTTTTTCCAAGTCATCAACCACGGAGTCGACCCGGGCCTCATAAGCGCCGCCCACAACGAGATTGAGTCGATTTTCAGGCTCCCCACGAGCAGGAAGCTTGGCATGAAGAGGAGGCCCGGTGGAGTGTATGGTTACTCCGGTGCTCATGCGGATAGGTACTCATCCAAGTTGCCATGGAAGGAGACTTTCTCTTTTGGGTTTCACAAGAACGAGAGCTCTGAGCTTGTGGTGGTTGATTACTTCAAATCTGTCTTGGGCGATGATTTTGTACATACAGGGTAAGATAATTTTTGTGGTTATTATTGTTGTTTATATATATATATATCAAAATAAATAACTCCACAACCCTAAAAACAAAAACAAAAAAGATAAAAAAAAAAAAGTAGCTTAGGCTGATCCCAGATTTTTTTATCTAGCCCGATCTATATACTTGCATGTGTCATGAATTTCCTCCATGTCCATAGGAAAAATAAAGTTGAAAATGGATCACCCTTGATGCAAACATAGATGAGTTGGTCATAGAATTACAAAATTCAACATCTTGCCAAAATAAAGGCTTAAGTTTCCGTTCAGTTACTGTTTAATTTCTTCCATTTTATATCAGAGAACAATGCTTGCTTCCAAGTCACATTTCCGCTTTTTTTTGGGCCTAGCTCATATACCACTACCAATGCATGCATGGAAAAGTCTTGAACTTAATCATTAGAGATGGGCAAAAAAATAGGTCAACTTTCCATGGAAATATAGACAGTGCAAAGTAGTACTTCCATATATAGGCGTCTTCGCAATCATGATGCCAACGCCTTTACATAATTAAATGCCTTACTTAGATGAAGGCATGTCGTGACTTTGGTGGGGGTCCACTGGTAATGGAGGAATTCTGTACACAAGCACCCATTCATCTTCATCATCATTACTAACTGTTAGTCGACCCAAAATAAACATGTGATCTTAATCAGATGGGTATACCAGAAGTATTGTGAGGCGATGAAGGAGCTAGCACTGGTGATCATGGAGCTGCTGGCGATGAGCTTGGGGATCGATCGCATGCACTACAGGGACTTCTTCGATGATGGGAGTTCGATAATGAGGTGCAATTTGTACCCGCCGTGCCTGAATAACGGGCTCGCGATGGGCACGGGTCCTCACTCCGACCCGACATCCTTGACCATCCTCCACCAGGACCAAGTTGGTGGCCTCCAAGTCTTTGCCAGCAACAAATGGCAAGCCATCACGCCTCGTCAAGACGCACTCGTCATCAACATTGGAGACACTCTCATGGTACTTTTCCACTACTTTTTCCGAACTTTTGTCGAAAGCTCTGAACCTTGATAAATCTAGTCAAAGTATAAATACCGTTATTTTTGCAATGAGTCCGAGACTTTTTCAAAATACACCCATCCATATCATCACCATCACTGATTAGTTTCCTACATATAATGATCTTTCGACACAACCTCTGTAGTTTTTGGAATAGCAGAAATAAGAAAAGTGATGACCGATATAAAATATATCACTTATTACTTAAAGTCGGGATTGCAATAAGTCTCATAAGTTCTTGAATTGGACTTGTTCGGAACAAACACAGAAAAACAAATACAGAACACAGGGATTTACGTGGTTCGATCACAAAGTGATCTACGTCCATGGGCGAGGCAAAACAAGATTCCACTATAATCAAAGAGAGTACAGTTTTCAGAAGTCGAAAGAACGACTTAACAAAACCTCACGGCTCACCAATCTCTCCCAAAATGAAAATCTCTCTTAATCAATGAAAAAAATCTAGCCGCAGTATAAATAGGGCTCCCCAAAAAATTTCCTAAGGGGCTACGCCCCCGAACCTCCCAAGATATTTATTCGCTTACTCTAGCTTGGGCGGACTGCCATAGAGATTTGTTCATTCGCTCCGGGTTGAGCCTATCGGCCCAACACTCCGCGTCACAAACTAAATCTCAATTTTTTTTTCTCCTCTTTTGGGTCACACAAAAAATATGTCAAGTCAGGTGATGAACCGGACCGAGTACATAAAATTCAAGACATATTTAACAGGACTTAAGAGAGCCTGTTTCCGCATCCATCATGGCCCAATTATATATCAATGTATTTTGTGCATGGCTCTTGATCATCATCTTCTCAAATCTACAATTTCATTTGTGTTGTTTATTCGGATTCATTGTGATTTACATGTGAAAGCTGGTGTTAAAGAGTACGAAGTATGCTTAGGTAATAGTACTTGTATTAATGTAACCTACTTTCAGTCAAAAATTTAACTTTAGGGTTGAACTTTTTAACAACCTCAGAGATTAAATGTCTAAAGTTTGAAAGAGCTTGCACAAATTAAAATGTTCCGAACTTAATTGAATGGCATACTACAAAGTTTAGGACTTGCAATGTAGACGATGTAGGTAAGTGTCCAAAATAGAACGATGAAAAAGTTGCCCATCAATTAGCTTTGTCTCTTTATAATCTGTTAAAGTGAACCTATCATGAAAACAAAAGTTGAAAAAAGATACAAAGCAAGCGAGGAAAAGAGGCTTGAACAATCCGAGTAATTCTAACTAAAAGTAGTCCATACGGTCCGATCAAATAAAATCATCACCGGCCGGTTCATATATAGTCGACTTGTGGTGCCATTCTCATCCGTTCTTGATACTAAACTTGTACTTTTATTGGTTCTCGTATTGGTAATGCAACATCTATCATTCTTGACAATGATTTGACGTGTCACGACTAATACAGGCATAGGATGAGATTGGCCGATGGAGTGGTTATACATCATTAGGTCAATAAGAGTGGCTGGAAATAATAATACTAACTTATCATCATTGGAGCCGTGGTTACCTCGACCTCTTCTTTTCGTCTTGAAGTTTAGCTGTTCCGCTAAATCATCAGCCAACTTGTCCTTTGACCGTATGTGTTTGCCAATGAACATGCATTGCAATGTGGGCACTCGGGGGACCATTGGTTCTATTACCTTCTTCTCCATGATAATTTTGGGTTTACTCCAGATAAGAGCGTGATGTGTGAGGAACTGTAAGAGTGAGACTAAAGCATTACTGAGACAAGAGGAGGGCGACATGTTTTCCTCTGAAATTTCATCTAAAAACCTAGGATAACATGCATGGTTTCGATACTTGTCGAGTTAGAGTTAGAAAGCCGCTCTCAACAGCTGTTTCAATGGCGATTGATATTGAATTGCAGGCATTAACCAATGGGAGGTACAAGAGTTGCTTGCACAGGGCGGTGGTGAACAGCGAGAGGGAGAGGAGGTCACTGGTGTTCTTCGTGTGCCCGAGAGAGGACCGGACCGTGAGACCCCCACCAGATCTTCTTGGGACCGACATGGAAGTGCCAAGGAAGTACCCGGACTTCACGTGGTCTGACCTCTTGGAGTTCACTCAGAACCACTACCGCACGGACGTCGCTACCCTCCAAAGCTTCATCCACTGGTTACTATCGCCCAAACCCTAAATCTCTCTCTCTATGAAATGTTCAACTTATTGTACTTTTGGATGGCCAGTTTTCTTCTTCCTTTTTTCTTATTTTTCTTTATTAGTTTTGGGCATGCATGGCTTTGGATGCAGTTGGATCATCATTTGGTTTGTCTTATATGTGTCATCACTTTGTCCCATCTCTCGTCTGTATAGATTCCCCCAAATCCCCTATACTTTGGACCATTTGGGGATGTATGTCAGCTTCCTTGCCACATTATTATATAGTTGTGTTTTCTTCTAGTGTGTATGTGTGTGGTGTTTTGTATGCATGCATGAGTAAGATTGCACAAACGCTTTAGGAGTGTCACGCAAACCATTTTCCTCGAAAATTTATAAACTTTAGAAAACGGGTTAATGATGTATTTATAGCATATTTCTCAACCGACAAGAAAAAAAAGAAAGTAAAGGGAAAAAAAATGGACTTTTAGGTTTATATGCATCCACCATTCAAAAGTCATGGGAGACTTGACTTTCGTAGATTATGCTACGTTGATGGTTCGTGAGCAATCAATAAGACCCAAAGTAAATGTTTTGGAAATCATCTGATATTTTTCTTTTTCACGGTGCGTAAAGTTTGGTCCCCGTCTTGCAAGCGGACGAGAGCAATGGCCCCACATAATCACGGGGTAGGGATATGGTCAAGAATTCGTTTGTTGATGACATGCTTGATAAGGAAGGATTTGGAAGGGGTCTCCATCTATTTTTAAGAAGTTTGTCCTAAGGAATTGCAACATGACCCAGTGGCCATCCTCGTGCAGACTTAACCTTATGTCTGTTTCTGTTTTGACATGATTGGACACCTTCCATTTGAGATGGAAAATTGCAAGACTGGGCCACCATGAAGTGTTAGCACGTGTGCCCATGATGATGATTGGAAAAGCTTCTGGAGAAAGTGGTGCCCATCTTGGATTATGGGACATTAGATAACAAATATCTTTTCCTCCTCTATATTATCGAAAGCTGCAATTCAACTACGATAATTGAGATGGTTTTATAAGAGAAATTGCCACAGTTTAATCCACTACGAGCTGATCTAGCGACTGTTAAACACGCCGTTTTTGTAGTAAATTTATATTGTGATCGATGGATGCTTTAAATATAATAATCGACGATCGTTGATTGTAATCTTTTTTATAAGAAAAAGCCACATAACAATTGACATGTGTAGATGACTCAGTCGGCACTAAAAATGGCCAGTTTGTTATCATTTCTTTTTCGGCAAAATGCTACCTGTTGATTACCCTGTTAAAAGCTGCGACGTATTCAGGTTTCAAATTGATTACGAAGAATTCATACATATGTCCACATGTCAATATTTATATATTTTGATATGATATATCAAGCTATATATATATATACCTAGGTTCTAGTATTAACACATGTATCCGAACGTATTTTCAAGACTTTACAAGTCTTTTGGAAAATTGAGATGAGGTTTTAATTTTCTAGGCAGCTGACGGCTTGGTAACCAAATCTGAACTCGAATACCTTCCCTTTGGACCCTTCAAAACCTTCGCAAGCATAAACCACAAAAGTATTTCTGCAGCACATGATCTTTTCATTTTCGAAAAATCTAGGACTGAATTTTGGTGATTCATTAAACAAAAGAGTTTGGGGATGAAAAATGCAATTTGGTCATTACGTTTAAGGGATTAGGCACAAAGACAAAAACTTCAAGATGACTATTTGCAACTTTAGGGAACCATATTAGCAATTTTTATGAATTTTATGTAAACGCCATTTGTTATAAATCATCTTCCAATTAGAAAAAACAAGCTGTAAATAATGTAATACATGAGATAATGCGTGATAATCTGGTCGTCGCAACTCTCAACATGTCTAGAGAGTCAACCCCCTTCAATTTTGAGCAGCTAATATACCCTTTCTCTTGCAAAACGTAGCGGTCGACCCTTCAACGTTGAGTTCAACTCTTCGACATGGGTTTGACATTCCTTGCTCAAATCCATCGAAGTTCTTGGGTATTGACACAAAAAGGTATTAATCCTCTTGGTTTGGTTCAACTTTTATCTTCTGAGCAAGGTTTAGAGGTAATTTTGAAAGTAAGAAACACCGGTCGAATTTCATCAAAGCATAGGTGTGCATGAAATTTCTCCTAAACTTTTGCCCCACATCTCTTGTTTACGGGTTTATTTAAACTTTATACTAATATGGTCTCTCTTCATTTAGTGCTATAGACTTTGTTGGACTTTCTGACATAATACTAAAGTCAAGTTCCACCCTATTTTATTTTATGTGTAAGGCTCCCCGTTCATTAATTCCATTCATTAATTCCATGCGTCATTCTCAATCCGATTTACGCATGAGAAGGGGCTTGTCTATGTGGTTTGTACAGCTTATATCAACTTAAATTTTTGGGTTTAATACTCTTGTATTGGTAATACAATATGATATCATAATCATATCCATCCTTTAATGGTCGTGAGTATAATATGATATCATACGGTATACCGAGTGAACAAATGTAACGTAGGTGCACCTCCATATGACTTTATAATTGCTACTTGTTAATGTTATATCAACTCTTGTAAACTCCTTCTAAATGTTCAATTGCATTCTCTATAAATTTTTACATCACCTGGTCCTCGAAAATGTATAAATTTTTAACAAATCACGTGTTTGGTGTGCTTTTGTCAAAACTCAAGGAAATTCATATGGTCAATCCTCCCGATCCTAAAAGTGAAACCAATTGAGGTAATCTAAATTGAGAATACATTATATGAAGTAACATATCTGTGGCCTCATAGTCTTCATTGAGATTATAGTATGTGGTCATTGCATCACTCTCACAATTTCTTGAAAGTATTTTCACCTGATGATGGACTCCAATAATCAGTAATCCCTACTTATTACTCCTACATACACATAAGAGAAGAAATCAACTTTTTAAAATTAAGTATCTCGTATTTCCCTCATGACTAAAGTCAAATTTATGCAAAAAGTAGCAGCTTGCTTTATCACCAGAAAAAAAAAATTGGGGCATCATAAATTGGGATGAGGGAAAATCGGCAAAAGTACACTAGAAGTGTCATAACTTATGTACGGCGATCACTTTGGTGCCATAACTTTTTTTCGGATCACTTTGGTGTCAACTTTTTTGAAAACGATTATTTTAGTGCCAATGCTGACGTGGCTCGCCGGAAATCCGATGTGGCGTTGACACGGCTCGCCGGAGAGGTCCAGTCAGCATTAAAAACCAAAAACGAAACCATTTAGCCTGCTGACGTGTACTTTTTTAAAGAAAATTAAATTAAATATATATATTAAAACAAAAAACAAAAAAAGCCTGCAACTCGCCGCTGCTACCGCCAACCCACCACCGCCGGAAAGGGCCGGCGGTGGTGGGCGCAGTGGTTGGCGAGGGTCGCCGAGCCCAGCGAGGGCCGGATCCGGCGAGGCGAGACCTCGCCGTCGCGACCCAGGCGACGGCGAGATCTCGCCTTGCCCAGCAAAGGTGAGGCCACGCCTCGCCGTCGCCTGGGTCGCAAAGGTGAGGCCACGCCTCGCCGTCGCCTGGGTCGAGACGGCGGCCGGCCTCTCACCTCGCCGTCGCCTGGGTCGCGACGGCGAGGACTCGTCTCGCCGGATCCGGCCCTCGCTGGGCGAGGCGAGGGTTGCCGGGCCCCGGCCAGGAGCCGGCGACCCTCGCCGACCACTGCGCCCACCACCGCCGGCCCTTCCCGACGGTGGTGGGTTGGCGGCAGTAGCGGCGAGGGCTCCCTCGCTACTGCTGTAGGCTTTTTTTTTAATTATTTTAAATTTTATTATTTTTCTAAAAATTAAAAAATTCGAAAAAAAAAATCACATAATTTCCACGTGTACAAATTAGATCATTTTTTTAATATAAATGCCAGGTCAGCTTTTTGGCCGGAATCACTAAAGTGATCTATTTTCCTCCGACTTGACATCAAAGTGATCCGAAAAAAAGTTATGGCACCAAAGTAATCGCCGTACACAAGTTGTTGCACTTCTGGTGTACTTTTGCCAGGGAAAATCTCTAGAAATAGGGATTCTATGTCCAAGAAGATCCCCTTGGTCCATTGGGGATTCTATACTGCGATGGTGGTCGGTAATAATATGCTTGAAATAGCATTTGGCCCTACACTTTGCTAGTCAGAACTAGAAGTGCAGAGAGTTTGGTTGCTTGTCGCCATCAACAGAAAAGGTCACTAGCTCCACCCACTTCGGTAATGTTGTGGTCGGCAGCCGAAACAGAGAAGATGAGCAATTTTACTTGATTGTCCATGTTGTTCTTGATCAACCAGTGCTCAAATCACTTATTCACCCCCCCTCTAAGTGATATTTGCTATTCTCATCAATTGATATCAGATCCTGTCCCTGATATCTTTTGTTGGTTCACATGAAGCAATTTTTTTTATATTCAAATGATGATAAAACACAATTAAAAGAATAAATTGCTTTTAAATATAAAGCTTCTCTTTTCATTATTTCATATTGAGATAATGAAGCAGCTGCTGGAGCTTCACCATTTTGTTGTTGATTTGAGGCGGTTGCAGGAGGAGGTGGTTTGACTCCTCTTAGAACAACGTCTCATTGCCAAGGATTAATGGATTTGATGAATGCCTTCATCTTGTTTTTCCAAACACTATATTCTTTGCCATCAAAGTATGGCTGGTTTACTTGTGGATTAGACTGATGCAGTGACTTGAAAATATGAGCAGTCATCGGAGTGGAGATAACTAAGATGGTCAAGGGGAAAGTCTAATCTTTTAGTTTTATGAACTTCCCTTCTCACCTTCTAGTCCTTGAGCTCTTTTTTACCTTCACTGTGCATGAGGGGATCGCGCAAGATGATCTCTAATTCACATTTCCGAATTCTGAAACACCAAATAACCCTTTTTTGGAGTAGCCGAGCTGGTTCGTTTTTGCAAAAAAAGCCCTCACGATCTTATCTCGTCGCGCCAATGGGATTCTCTCACTTGATAAGTACGTAGATCTCAAATGACACCGAGATGGCACAAGTTAAGAGAGGAATAGTCGTGCAGCCTATCAAAGGGACTCGCGTGGGGGTCATGTTTAGAGCGACCTATGAATAGAAGAGGGCAGGGCAACATTGTGGTATGTCTCATTCCTACCTCTTTTTGCTATCTCCTTGTATCTTACTCTTCATGTTCTCTTTATTGACCTAATTATCGGAGAGTCCTCCTAAGTAAAATCCAGAAAAGTTTCCAGTTTGTAGCGTGCAGGTCCGACACCCGCAT